CAAACATGCTTTTATGAAACACGAGAATCTAAATTATATCTCGATGCTCGATGGCGCAGTGGCTAGAGCGCTCGGTCATGGTTAATAGGCAACTTTCGCAATAGCCTGTCATAGGATGGGCGACCAAAATTTAGTATCTCCTCCGTGCTTCGGAAGGCACGCTTTGTCATCGATCCCGGCTGCATCTGCATCTGCAATGCGTACTGAGACCGTATGGTGGATCATTGCTCACTCTCCCTATTCGATTCCATCCATAGAGGAAGCCTCAAGCCTCCGCTACGGATGGAAGCAGTGGGGACATATTAAATGAAATTATGTAGTTTGATGTAAGGGGAGTATCACAACCAAAACGTTAATATAGAAAAAACAACAAATATTTTTTCAATCCCGTTTGTAGTTTATACCCTTTGTGTGAAGAAAAAATTCTAAGTATGTAAGTCACTATGTGGTCGATGGAATCATGCAGGACTTTTACAATATTTTTAATAATTTACGTAATAAAAACCATTCTTGTCTATCTCGTTACGAGGGTAATGTACTATGTGTAATTTCGTTGATTCAGAGACTCTTTAATACGAATAGCTCTTCTTAAGATCTGAGCTGTGTGTAAAATTAATTTATTCTAAAAAAGCTTGACGTTTACCTTGTGTAAGATCTTGGTGAGGTATGTACCTATACTTATACAAAAACGTTAAGCAATTGAAAAGTAGCATCTAAAGATATAAGAAGTTATAAGAGCAACTCAAACCGAAGTTGGAATTGCAAACGGAATGTGTTCGGAACAATAGTCGGATCTAATTGAGGTCGGAACACAAAACAGTACCAAACGCATCGTCTGTGGAACATTTCAGGCAAGGAACGCAGACGCCGCCGCCGGCCGCCGTGTTCCGTTACCGGTAATGACCGGTCGGTGCTAATGAACTTCCGTACCTAATGGTGATCAGCGCCCGAATGGAACTATTTGTTAATTCTGGTTTACTGAGCACTTATTCCTTTTTGTTACTGAGCAAACTATAGTGTATTTTAAATTTATATCTTGTTAAGTAAGACAAATGTTCGAGTGCGATGCCGCCGTAGTTGTCACATCGCGGTATGCGAAAAAGTTCTTTAGAAGACACATTAAGACAACGGTTGATAGTGTTACACATTGCAGGTGCAGTGCAGACAAACTGATTACCCGCATAATGTGTTTTCATAAGAACGAACGATATAACAAGTTTCATCTATGATTAAACCTCTTAAAAGTTATCTCATGTAACACATTCCTTAAAGAAAGATAAGACTCATTGATTACTACAGTTAAAAAAGTATTTTATTATTATTCGACAATGTCAGAATAGAGATGACAACAGTCACAAATAACTATGGATATAGCGTTGCGTATGAAACAAAAAATCATATATAAACCACATATTGTTCCAAATTCAGTTACTATAAATCATAAGAACTCATTGTTGCGAAGTAATTAATACTTATAATACCTTTATCTTAATTTAATATTCCAATTTACAAATAGTCTCACTAAGCGCGCAGTTTAATTGACATTCAGCCATTCAAAGAAACAGTTAGACTAACGACTTGGTTCAGTACTGTATAACGACTTTCCAAGCTGAGACATTTAAAACTTTTATTTTTATAACCTGTCATTTACAAGCAAACTGGCAATTACATAGTAAAAAATAAGCTGATAAAAAATAAAAATTATAATAGGTGCGGCATGATTTCAAAAATAGATTCTTTTGTATACTAGAACCAAGTATCTAAAGTTTAAAAAAAGAACTTAATATTCCTAATACGAATCTGTTAATATTCCATCCACACGGTAGAAAGTAGTATTCAACATGCGAATGTTTTCGTTCAACCTAACATGATTTTAGATGATTCTAATAAAATCGGCAGGTCTGTTTGGCCAACAAACTAAACAGTTTGCCGTTGCGTTAGGCCGTGTTGACGTACCAAACACGAATACGAGATTAGTTATAGGTATATATTATTTTTTGTGACATTCACAGATTTTTTTTACCCACATTCGCACTCCATATGCCCGTTTGCGTTTTACTCATTCAATTATGCAAAGCTACCATTTGTTAACAGATTTCAGGGTAATTCGGCGAGTGTCGAGTTGGTTTTATGCTAATAAGCTTAGTGTCCGTTATTTATTATGGGACAAGTTTACAAACGTTATACCGTTATGTACCATGCTGATAACGTTATTTTGCGCCATTAATCGCAGTACCACTCATTTTCATATGATTTAAGGCGTCATTAGTATTCAAATTTGATTGTTTTGTTAATTAATTTGTTTACTATATTTTATTAGACTTATGACAATCTTTATTGGTTATTATATTTGTTCAATTCACATTCATAAGGTTATATTGGTAATTATCTCATTGAAAGATATTTAAATCATTCACCAGTTCCACGTCGCCGAAATAGGATTCGGACACACAACCTTTCGCAATCTAGGAGACTCTTTTAACCTTTTTGTATAAGATGATTTTTATTAAATAAAAGTTTTATAAATATTGAGATTAAATTTTCAGTTGTAAGCTCAAAAGTGAAAATTTCTAAAAATTTGTTTATTAATTAATAAATAAAGCATGATGCCAATAACATTAAGTAAAGAAACATAAAGATATATTTCATTATTATAGTATAAAATAACTTTTCTGAAAATCTCATCAAAATCGGTTCAGTCAAACACAAAATAATCGCCGACAAACATACATACAGTTCAAATTGAGAACCTCTCTCATTTTGAAATCTGTTAAGAAATAAAAACAATGATACAGTGATAACGCTACCTATATAATAGCAAATGTTGAACTTGAGATTTCAGTGTAGTTTAGTATGTATCTAATAAAACTTACAAAAATAAATTGCCAGGTTTTCTCTTCTATAGTTTTAATTTCATTATTTTATCAATATATTAGTTTTTTTTTTAATATTGACGAAACTGCACAACTACGTTTGATCAAGTTATATGCTAATTTTAATATTGTTTCCAAAATAAATATGCCTATATATTTAATGACTGAGTATCCAAAAGCGTAATAAAACCAAATTACTTTTTTGCTATATCTTTTATAAATGTTTTAGGTACTTATATTTGAAGACAACCATGTTTTCTGTTAATATAATAAAAATACCATATCATTTTTATTACCTTTGAAGTATAAAGTACAATAAAATGCTGCTGCTGTAATAATAAATTATTGAATAAAGGGAAAGTGACGCAAATTCTTTATATTTAATATTAGCTGTAAAGTGGTCATGGTCCTATTTGATGGTAGCAACTGGTGAAAGAGACTAAAGGTCATTAAATCGTATGTCATATAAAATAATCATTATTAATATGAAAAAGTCAATGGCTAGCTATCAACTTCAAACTGTTAGATACTGGCCTGCGTAGCATCGTCGCTGATAGCAATGCCTTACAACTTGCGAGCGACGTACAGATAGCACACTAGTTAGTAGCTAGTAGTAATCAAAATTCGAGAAAATGCCGTATTGCTACTGAGCCGTTTAAAGTTTTTTTTTTTCCTTTTGTATCCCATATCAAATACTAACACTAAGTAGGACCACAATCCGGATCCTATATTGGTAACCTATGTGCTATCTTCGACCAATGCGACTAATAGCCACCTTTCAGCATTGACAATGACTTTAGAAACATTGACGATGAAGAGAGATGGCTGTGGTATAGCAGCCATTTCTCTTCATCCTCAATCTTGCTCCTTATCATCATCTAGCTAGTCTCTTTGTTTTCTTAGCTTTCTTCACACGGTATTAGCTCGACCTTGTCTTCACAGACTACGATTTGCCTTCGATGTAACACTCCGATGCTCCTATGTAAATTTTACCTCATATCCTTGCATATTTTCTGAAACGGCACAACGCAGAGCTATTATCGAGGAATGGATAAGACTTGTAAGTGGATATATAACAAGGTTAAAAAGAGAAGGAAGATCGTGATTACTCATCAGTTTTAATTAGTTCTTATATTACATTACTATTATATATATTTATAATCTGACTAGCGTATCGTGATCTTCTCTCTATTACTAGACGAGTAACGTCTCGAGACTTGACTTACTTTCTGTCTAGTATAAAAGCTCACTGATTGAGCCGCCGCACAATTTGTCAAAAATGAAAAAGCCCCTGTGTAGTTTCTCATTGTACTTTTTATATGCTTTTGTTTACTCCACTCCACGTTCAAAGGGCACTCCGACAATCACTATAAAAAGTGAGCGATTTACTGATAGTCATCTGACAGCCCGGTATTTACGTTTGACGCGTCATTTATTTTTCCATTTGTCAAAAGGCGGATGCGCGCGACCCACAGTCTAATTATTGTAAGGTATACACAAAATTGGACGATTTTTATCGCAGTTTGAATTATTAATAGATATGTACACATTGCCCGTTCGGGTTTACACGAAAAGTCAAGTCTCCAGAAACGGTTTTGATCTCTACAGGGATTCCATTACGGTTTAAAATTAAGTAGACGTTATTTTTTCAGTATTGTATAACATACATCGTGTAGTCTGGTATCGATGTCTAATTTGATGAAGAAATAAATACGATAACAATGATATAAACTATAAACTGTATAGTTATTATTTTATTGGTATATATTTTTTTGACATTTCTGTAAAAGTATTTATAGTTTGAATAGTAACGATTATTTGCAAAAATTGTGATGCATAAATCTAAGTAAAATCTTATAGAAGAAATTAAAATGAAATATATCTTACAAATTCAATTGAAAATTATTTCTACGCAAATGTTTGTTGAGTAAAGCTGCTTGTATATACAAATAGGTACTGAGACATGTTCGATGCTTAGGCAAATGAATAAGAATCAGTTGAGATTTGCACTTTTCTCAATTCAGAAACCGTCTGTTAATCCACCTTTCAGTACGAAAGGAAAATAAACTAACATATTTTAATAAAGTTTATATTTTATCGGTCCTTTGATATTATTCTTTGTTTCAGATGCGATATGAATACTTAAACATCCATTTGGTGAGTCTTAAATATATAATTACTGAGCTATGCTCTTTTTCAATCCACAACTCTACAATAGGTCTTTATTTTGCGTATAAAATTTGGGGCTTATTTTAAGCCATCACAATCACTTCAGGATGTAGTGTAGTTCAAGACAGTGTAGTGTAGTCCAGGACTACCCATGAGTGCAGTTACTCACGGAAGAGAATAATATTTATTGTTATCTCTTTCTTTGAAAAATACAGGTTTATATAATTAGCATAATAAAACACTCGTATGATGATGTCGCGTTAACAATTGTGCTAGTTTTAAAACTGTATGACAACAATAAAAACCGAAAAAACTTTTACCTAAATGGATGATGCTTAAGATGTAATCTACAGCCAAGCGACATATAGTGTACTAATAGTGTTATGTATTTGAGATTTAGGTAGTAGATAGTTTTAAGGTTTGACTTTGTTATTGTTGTTATTTCTTGTTTGTTTTAGATTCTTGATTCTAGAATTTAAATTATCCTAATTTTGGAATTGTATTACTTTTTACGATTAATTAATTCTGTATATTAATTGTATTTAAAATAAATTTATTTATTCAGTTCACAAACAATATTCTCATTGTTTGAAAATGAGAATATTGTTTGTGAACTTAAAATCAAAAACGTACTTATGTAAACTTTAGCCTTATGACAATATAATTTTATGTTTATCTATTTGTATATCTGTTTGTCATGTTATTATCAATTGTCAGTAACACAAAAACATTCGTTAATTTAAATTCGTAATTAAAAAAGGTACTGTGAATATGGGAATTCCCCTAATAAAACCTACGTAAGCCGTTGTAAATGCAGAAACTCTACTGATATTTAATTACAGTTCCATAACTGACTTGATTGCATTTCCTGCGAGTGAGTTCCCTGTTATTATTTTGCCAATTTGAAACGATATTAAGCTTTCGGTAGCAGAACACGGTTGGTGTAACAGAACTAATATCGACCACAAATTGTAAACTGTTATACTTAAATTTTCTTGTGGCTCTTTTCTTCTGTATTTCCAAATATATGTTTTGGTAGCTGTAATATTCGTGCTTTATTTCGGGTTATTTTGTATTTATTCTATGACGTCTGAGAAATAATTAGTAATAAGGAATTAAAAATAAAATATCTTTTATGGGATGAGTAAGTTAAAAACAATACTTAGGAATTTAATAGAAAAAAAATGTGGGTTGAGTAAAGAAGATAAACAAGATAAGTAAGGATAAAACCTACGTATATACTACCTGCGTATAATTTTATTTTATTACCCTTAGTTTTATTATCAGTTCCTTATTCGTCCCATCAGCATTCTTAGCTCCTCCTATTTTAAAAATCTCCTATAAAATTTAAGATTTCTGTGTACTGCCCGAACAAAAGTGTTATAAGAAGAAAACAAAACTTACTATAAAATAGAATTTTACACTTTCGTTTCTTTATCAAACTTTCCGAGATGTTAATCTGTTCCTTTCTAGAAATAACATATATCAAACATTCAATTCTACTGCGGCTCCATAAAGACATCGAAACTTGAACATTTTAGAAAACTTTGTCATGGAAATTATAAAGAAAACCGGCTAAGAGTTCTCAGGTGCATCGATCGAACCCCTTGAACAACTTGCCGATGACTGGATTCAAATATTTTCACTGAGTGAAAATCCTCTCGACTCGCGCTTTGAGTCAAAGGCAAGTTTGCGCTCAGAAAGATTTTCGGTAAGCACTTGTTCTTTTCCATGCTCCCTATTGATAAATTTATGTATTTTTTTTTCTGTGACGTAATCCGTTTATGTACAGTTATGGATCGCCAGGATTAGTGTCGCAGTAGAATTAATATGATAGTCTGAGTCGCATTATTATTTTTAGCCCGCGTCTTTGCACGTGTAAATTATCAACCCTGAAGATGTAGCTACCCGAATGTGAAATAATTGTTTAAATTGTTCCAGTTGTATCGGAGTAAATAAATAAACAAATCTTTTCTCTTTATAATATTAGTATGTAGGTTCTCTTTCTTTTGTGTTTATTTTCATTTCACTTTTCATATTGAATTTATATATTTGCGAGTATATAAATTAGTATATTGTATTTTATTTCTTAAACGTAGTATAGATACATGTGTGTTGCGGGAGAAAAATACTCGATAATTAATCAATGGATACTATTAAGTATGATAATCAAAAACAAATGGATGCATGCAATTCATTTTCAAATCAATGTTGTACCTACTAATAGTCTCATTATAGATGTGGTGGTGATATAAAAAGTCTAAACATTCTCAGCTTCCTATTTTAAATCAGTTGAGTGTAAATTAGAAGACCTATATTTTTTTAGTAGTTCTTAACACATTGGCAGCCAATAATCAAATGGCCTTTAAAGACTTACAATGCAGACACGAAATATTGAAAGTTCTTGGTCTATAAAAGAACTTCAGAATGTTACAACTCGGTAAACTAATTTATGAATCGTAACATTTTAACAATTTTGAGTTACATTTAGCCGTTTTTTTTAATGATTCTGTAAGTTTTTGAACTTGTGAAGTGTAATTTTATTAAATAGCGCGTTCCACGCGAGATCGTATAAAGTAATTCTTAGCTGTAATTATGAAACTGACGCCAAACTTGGTTCACGTCAGCTGTTCGCTTTGCCAAGTAAATGTCGTTTCTTTTATTTAAGCACAGTTAAATGACAAGCCAGGGTTGTTGCGCCTTCTGCGGATAGCTGACTCTTATTTGTATAAAAATGTGATTAAATAGTTTAATAAAATTTATAATTATTACTAGCATTAAAATTATTACTCGCGATATCACGGATGGTAGAAAGAGTCTAGTAAATACATTAATTTTCCTTTCTTAATAACTAATAAAAAGGAAACTAAAAACAAGTTTTTAGTTATTAATTTGTTCCTTATAATTCTAAATGACCAATACATTTATCCAAAGCTACTTGAAAGGCCGCTTTGCGCTTTGATATTCTGTAATAATAACAGTTTCGTCAGAAGGGCATTTACACATATTTTAAAAGTATAGAAGTTTTATTACGTTAAACCTCTATAATCTAAGATTATTTTTAAGTAGGTATGTTATGATGGGGTTGACATGTTCAAAAGAATAAAAACCTCTGAAAATGGAGAAAGGAATAAATAAATAATAGTACTTACTTCTACTTATGTACTCTACACATGATTTGCACATGTTAATTTTTATTTCTCATTAATCAGGTTTAAGTAATATTTCTATTCTAGTATAAATATCTATTCTTCTCGCTAGATGATAAAGGAATGGGCAAATAATATGCGAGTACCCCATGGTGGGGCCAAGTTTGACGCTTACCGACGCTCTGACTAAGAGTTTAATAATATAAACAAAATTAAAAAAAACACAAACTTTTTACTAGTGTTTGCCAGAATTTCATAGGTTATTATCGAAATAAGATCATAATTAAAAAAGAGTTTTGGAATTCATGTTATTTGGACCTCGAAGTCTCGAAGTCAATAAATCATAGAAAACGAACACCACAGTGCACTCTCTTTATTCCATATCAATGTAATCTGTTTCTTTCCAAACTCATTATATATGACTACGGTTTAATGTGGTCCTTCCCATAAAACGTGAAAAATAGTGACAGTGTTTCTTATTAAAATGTATGTTATTTTACTATTATGAAATTTGACACCCTTAAGAGCACACTTGTTGTCCAATTGGACAAGTTTCAACATTTCTCCGTTTATGGACCATCTGCCGCCTTCACGGTTATTCACGAGCCACGCGCCGTAATGCTTCCCGTTATTTTTCACCTCTATCATTAAAACGACTCATTTGCATTAGTTTCATTTGTTTTTCATGTTAACACCTCTTGAGTTTTAACAATTGTGCCTACTTAAATATAGGATTATTATCAGTTGTGTTGCTATCATTTGTATCTAGCATAAATCTTAATCCAGATCACACATTGCAAAAGCAAAAGATACAGTTAGTTCATTTTGTAAATATTAAATCAAAGGGTGCAATTCAATTTTCTTGTCGCAGTTTGTTTCGCCAGTTTTTCTCAGACAGGACTCCCAAAGTTTGAACTGGTTGTAGAATACGGTAGCCAAAGGGTAAATAAATAAGTCAAATGTATTTTAAAATAATTTAATTTAATAAATGTAAACGTTGTCATATTTGTTTTTGGTACTGTGAATATGTCCTATATTATTGGTATTGGTTTTTGAAGGTAGCTATACTTTTAATTAAAAAGACAATCGACATGTTAGTCTTTTGTAAACACGGAACCTGTAAAGGGTCCGACACGTCAATAAAACTAAATACTAACGCGATGTTGTTTCAATTTAACAATTTTACTTTAAAATGTTCAGTCTGCGATGCAACAGTTAAGCAACCTCCCCAAGCACAACTCATCTCAATATCATCTTATCTCATGTTATAAATTTGAAAGACTTCAGTGAAATTAATTAATCAATGTTTCAAATCTACATGCGTCGTTAAATTGTCGAATCCTATATCCTGATTCCAGGATTTTCATCAGCGGCTTTGCTCGCATGGTCCTGTACTACACATTTAACCCTTCGTCTTGAATCATTCTGTATACTGATGATAAGCGCATTTAAATCCGTTGTGTAATTTAAAAGATCTCATCGTATAGACAGCTCAGTTCTTTACTACGTTCCCGCTACGTACTACTTCATAGCCTCTCACTATTCAACGGTAAGACTCACATATGATACGAGTACTTGATTATCAATAGCTTACAGAAATTCTATGGCATTGAAAATTCAATTTCGACGCTCTTATAACATTGTATATCCGTCTTGATAGCGTAACAGATATTGCAGCTAAAGTTGAAATTTGACGAGAAGCCCGTATTAATTAATGCCGTCCATTAGCGACGCTTGCTTGCTCTTAGAGCTCCATTGCTCTAACGCAATTAGTTTCCGGCAGTGCGCGGGCGACACCGCGCTGCCAACCTAAATATAATTCCCTTAACAATATTACGC